ACTACACATCAGAAATTGCTTACAAAGTCAATGCTTAAAAAATTTTCAAAAGATTATAACTCTAGCGGGTCCTGCAGCAAGACCTTATTTCAGCGAAATTGGGAAAAATCAAATCAAATCATAATTTACAATGCTTGCGCAAAAATGATCGTTATAGAAAACGCAATCTAAACATTTGTTGTGATCATCATTTGCTGCCTCGCTACGATCACAAAGCATATGGTTCCTTTCTTTGGATTTTTTCAACAAGCAAAAATATGGAAACGGGAAGAATTATGGACTGTCAAAGATGTTGGTACAAGACTGGCAATAGCTATCGCTCTCAACTCAACCAAAATGTCAAAGGAGAGCTATCCAGTTGAGCTTAGACTTCATTTCACTAACTTCGCATTGTGTTGAACCCATCAAGTTTCAAACATTTCTACGTTAGAATGTTCGCGAAACTTGTAAAGTTCTTACGTGCTTTTTGTGATTTCCACATTTGTGAAGTGCCCTATTGAAGATGAACTAATAACAACCTTCACACCTCCTGCTGTGCTCTCACTTTATGGTCGGAGAGTACAATAAATCGAATTAGCATCAAGAGTGAATAATACTCAATCTTAGAAACTGTTTATCAAGAAAATACTTAATATTAACAACTTTGCAGTCATAAAGTGGACCTTAACATATTACCGTGTTTCCTGTAGGAAAGTCGAGTTGAAGTAGTGCAAGAATTGTCAATTCTGCTCAAAAGTACATTTGTTCAAATAGTTTTTTAATAGGTAGAAGTTTAAGTTTGAAGTGCGGTAGATTCAGCAGAAATTGCAAGATCTTGCCGTAGCCTATTTCGGAGCAAAAGTACTACACACCAGAAAGTGAACGTAATCAGTTTGTAAAAATAATTTGGTATACTAAAGTCCGCTTACGGTAGCTATACGGTAGATACGGTGCTTTGAGTCACATCATGCGCACTTTCATCCAGCATATCGGATAACCAAAGCAATTTGATATATCTAGAATATGTCCGCCTCGGGTAGATTTGGTTATTTGAAATCCACCTACTCAAATAAGTGCCCGAATTTTGCAAGTCTTCCAAAAGCACATTTGCGAATTCATAAGCCAGTACACTCAAAACGGCGCAAATAAATAGATGGAAAGTGGAAAAATGTACATTTACAGATAGAAATTAGTGATCGTTCCCATGGCCTTTTTGTTTCCAGGAGTTTTAGATTTTTCGAAAACTGTTAAATTCAAAAGTATGTTAGTGATATCGACTCAGGGTCCCTTCCCTTCCAAAAGGTGCGTGCTCAGCTCATTCCCAATTCGTTGTGCTTTTTGATTAGTATGAGTATTTACTCGAAAGTTCTAGTGCAATTACACTAAACTTGTCGCTCTTCCCCGAATTAGTGCTCGAAATAAGTTCGTAAACACCTTACCCAGTAACACGATCAAGTTTTACTT